GTCAGACAGATAGGGTGGTGCTTGGTTGTGCAATGCATGCATGGCAACCATGTTACATGTTTAAGGAGTTGAAAAGCTCCTTATTTACTGAATGTAATGTCCTTGGACCATTTAGCTGACCAGCAGGGCAATAGATTATGGTTAGAGAACTATTCCTAACTAGGCACAACAGTTGTTAGCCTATCCTGCCAGACTTGTCCTCTGTCTACACAGAGAACAAGTCTGGTTACTCACAGGCAGAGGGGCGGGACTAGCCAGCTCAAAATAACCAGTCAGAAAAAAGGAGAAATGCCGACTGTACCGTGCAACGCTGTAGTTTTTTTTAGCTGTAGTCAAAAATGGCTTCTGGCGACATTCAAGTCATTTAGTACAGAGGAAAGAGCTGTAGCGAATTCCGCTTCAGACGCTGTCTTTGTTATTTATGAGAAACTGAGGGTCACGCTGTGTGACGCACGCTGCCCAGCACTAATTGGCTCTGATTGGGAGAGTTTTCAGACCCAATGCCTCCCATCAGGAAGCATGGGGCTGGCTGGTCAGGCTAAACGGTTGGATCACTAAAAGACAAATACAGGTCGATGAAAGGCAAAAAGTCCAACAGGCTTATTTGAAGCCTCCACATAAAACAACTTATTTGAAAGGACCAGATTTTTAACACCATCATTGTTTTGCAGATATCTGGTACTGATTTGAGTCAAAGCTTTGGATTGATTCAAGTTGATCAGAGTGGGTCTAACATCTACTTTCACGAGTCCAACTCTAACCCTGTGGGGAACAAGGTGTTGTCTAGTTAAGCTGTGATGGCTTGTTTGATGTTTAAGATCTCAGCATATGTCTGTTCAATCTGAGTTGGGGTTTGGGTTTCCCATTAGCAGGTTTTCCCCCCTAGCCCCGTGGCTCCATGTAGAAGCTGCTGGTACGAAAACCAATTCCTGTGTCCATCTGTTAAAGTGTCAGTCCACAGTTTTACCAGGGGGACAAAAAAGGAAAGAACACCTGGTTAGACCTTCTATAACAAGCTGTCATAGGAACTAATGAGCCCCCTGATTACCCTCCCCAGGGATGATGTTAAAACTATACTCATTCTATTTTTAGCCCCAAAGCATTCTGATTATAAATCACAGGGTAATTGTCCACCATGCAAGTCAAACACGCAGTATCCTCCACCGTTTGATTAGATGACTTTTAACCTTTTGGTGCATGTATTGCGTCGCTCAGGGTGAATCCGGTCCCAGATGTCCCTTCCTGCCCTATTCCAGAAAGTGAAAGACTTCTCTGGACCAACTTCTATTTCCATTTTTCATTCCTCCTAGCCTGAAAACTGAGAGCTGGGGAATGCTCTGTCACCTTCAGTACCACAGCAACAGTATCACCCCACACCCCAACAAGACGTCTAATCTGAGAGTGATTAGCATTGACAAACTCAGGAAGACCGTGACATATGCATTAGTGTGTTTGATTAGCCTCTGAACAAGAGCATGGCTATCGGTTGGCCAGACCCACCCAATGTTTACCAGGGCCCACCCACACAAATGGCTTCCTTAAAAATTACAATGAAATGTATTTTATTTAAATTCTCACTATGTCATATATATATATATATATATATATATATATATATATATATATATATATATATATATATATATATATATATATATATATATATATATATATGTATGTGTATATATGTATGTATATATGTATGTATGTGTATATATGTATGTATGTATTCCCTTGTCAAAGACAGCTTGTTCATGACAGGTAAGCTGTGTTTGTCATCCATCCATGTGTACTCCCAGCCCCTCCTGGATGACCAAGCTTCCCACCCTATCTCTAAGGGAGATCCCAGACACTTTGTGGAGAAAACTTATTTCAGCTGCTTGTATCTGCGATCTCACTGTTTTAGTCACTACCCAAAGCTCGTGACTGAAGGTGAGGGTAGGAACGTAGATCGACTGGTAAATCACGAGCTTTGCATTTACAGCTCGGCTCTCTCTTCACCACGACAGATCGGTACAACACAAGCGGTACTGCAGAAGCAGCACCAATCCCCCTATCCATCTCACGCTCCATCTTTCCCTCACTTGTGAACAAGACCCTGAGATACTTAAACTCCTCCACCTGGGGCAGGACCTCATCCCTGTCCTGGAGAAGGCATTCTACTCTTTTTCGAAGACCGTGGTCTCTGATTTAGAGGAGCTGATTTTCATCCTAGCTGCTTCACACTCGGTTGCAAACTGCTGCAGCAAAAGTCGGAGATCACGGTCTGATGAAGCCAACAGGAGCACATCATCTGCAAAAGCCAGACATGATCCTTAGGCCACCAAAGCAGTGGCTTTGCTTGTTATCGATAGACTAATTCATACTTCTTCGTCAGCTTGAGTGTGGAGTGGTGCACACGTTTTGATGGAGAGCTTTTTTATTCAGACTTTTCCATCTCCTGGAGAGTGTTGCTAAGCAATTCCTCGCCAGGACAACAGAGGGCGTAGCGCTGTTGTGAGGTATTCTGCCACCATTACAGTCACGTGTCCGGTCCACCATAGTGTGTTTACTATTGTGTTTACACTGATCTGCTCTGATTAGTCCCTACACTGTCTTGCATATAGCAGCCGTTTCGCTAAGTATTGCCACTTTATAGTATTACTTTATCATTATGGTATTTTTACTTCCTATTTTTTCTCATCTCTTATTTTTATCTTCCTTTTTTTTTTTTTTTTGAGGTTGCAATGGCGGTGCTGTTGACGGATTTACAAGATCAAGCTGACCAATCTTGTGGTCTTCTTCACTTCCAGCAGAGTTAAAAAGCTGGGCAAGTCTCCGTCAGCCTCTGCGAGCCTGTCAGAAAACCTTTGCACTTAGGGATGCTTCGATCCAATCATGTGATCGGAAATCGGACCAATCAGGGTGATTTAAAAATAAGTCAGGATTGGGAGAAAAAGATCAGATTTAACTTTTAAAAGCAACAAACATGAATTTTTGAGTTCATCCTAAAATATAGATTTTAGTTTTCATTTCCTCCACATCAGCATTCTTTGTTTCTTGTACAAAAACAACAAAATAACGTCACTCTTATTTACGGCAGGCAGAGATTCAGACACCAAGATGCAGCTGTTAGCAAGCATGCTATTGCAGAGCTAACGTGTCTCCTCAGGAGAGCTGAAACGTTTTCAGCTTGGTGGCATTATAAACCAGACAACAAAGATGGCTTCAGCCACTTGTAATGTGTGCATACTGGGCATTCAACATGCTGAAAAGGACAGCTCCATTATTTGCCATTTTCAAACAGACCACTTTCACTTGTGGCTTGTCCCTTCAGCCATCAACAGAGCGAGTCACCTGTCACCATTAATCCCCAGGTTGCCACTAAGGCCCAGTTCACAGCGAGCCAGCCACCAGAGCTGCCCCCGCAGCTACAGGTGTTATGCAGGGAAAAGTTAGCCTGCCTCCTCCGTCACGGGAATGCACATCGCTCAACAACTTGAGATATATGAGCAAAGCTGCTACTTTTCATTATGTTCATAATATGAACGTGTTTTTTTTAATCAATGCACTTCCTAAACCAGTGAAGGTGAAACGTAGAGGACAACTTGGATGTGTTATTTTTTCAACTCATTTTAATGCTTTCCTGACTAGACTCGTTATCGGCAGATACTGTTAATCAAGTGACTTGCAATCAGATCAGGGGCAACAAAAACACAATTGGAACATTCAAAGAAAAGTCCAAGTCTACAAAGAATTTAGAATTTGGAATTGTTACGGCTGCCAGCCTGGCCAGTAAGATGCATTGGCCAAGATCACCCAGCCCTGGTGATCAAGCCTGACACCGCCCCTCCTCCTCCTCTCTTCCAGGCAGTTGAGGAGCACAGCTGAGCTGAATTCTGCTTATGACCCCAAACCTAAAAGGCTGTGCCTTCAGCAGTCTGGGAGGCAGCAGTGCAGGGGTTCTGCTGTCCTCCAGGCCTTGTTTTGGTTTTAACCCCTTTGTTTTGATGAGTTTTCAATCAATCAATCAATCGTTTTTAACTTTAATAGTTTTAACTCTGAGTGATCCGAATGGATCTTTGCTTTTTTTGTCAACTTGGTTGACTCAGTTTTAAGGTTAACTTGGTTTTAGTTTTTAGACTTTTATCAACTTCGTTATGGTTTTAAACATCTTCAATTTTGGTAAAACTTTTAAGAAAGTTTTAACCAGGTGTTTTATATAGTTGATAATTTGTCTTTTAACTGTTAACCTTATAGTGACATTTTCGTTTTGCATTATTTTAATGATGCTCGCCATCTGTTTGCTCTTGTTTTTAGAATCTTTTACAACAATTAAAACCATTTTAACTCCACTGTCGCATTTCTGATGTTGCCCCCTCCTTCACATTTTAATATCTCCTGTCGGGGACGTAACAGAATGAAAACATTGAGATGATATGTTTGAGCCCTAGTGTGGGTGTGATGCTCCTCCGCTGTTTGGTGAAATTGGTTAAATTAACTCCAGAGGTTTGAGCTGGCATACCTGTGACGTCACTGGCTTTGAAGTGACCATGTTGTTGGAATCTGAGAGATGATCATAAAAATAAGAGCTGTGGATAAAAGTCTAATGTTGGATGTAGATAAACGAGTGGGAGAGATCACGATGAGGCTCCTAATGTGCTCTTTGCCCCGTTTTATCCAGATGCTTTATTGGCGTGTTTTTCTTGCCGCCCACATCTCTCCTGCTGTCTGTCAGCGACCCTCACACATTATCACACGTGCCTGTTATCTGGAGAAGGTGCCCATTGTGTGTCTAGATGACTAATGGTGCCAGGGGAGCAGAACCAAGTCACGGTGAAAGAATGCAGACTTTAGCCCTCTTGTGTGGACAATAGTTAGTCTTCATTCAACGTGCCTTGCACATGTGTGAAAGTGATGCACAGTGGTGCTCGCTCACCGCACGCTGCCTGTGTGGCCCAAAGGGTGTGGAGTGCTGCTGCATTGGCTCAGTCAGGATGTTTTGTTCTCTTGTCTTGCAGCTGAGATATCAGCATGGTTTGACCACCCCGGACCTGCAGCAGACACTACCCAACCTGAAGAACTTCCTGGAACATGGTCTGATGGTGCGATGGTAAGATTAACAACAGCTTTCATCTGGAGCTTCCGGATCAGGACGGCCTAACTTTATTAACTAATGACAAATCACTATTCTTGCATGTTTGACAAGTTATAATATCAAGTTTATATTTTTACATCAGTGCTATTTTTTTACTTTAAGCCTTAAAGTCTTTTGAATGAAACCATTTTTAGAAGAACAAAAATCCCAAGAACCTAAATAGCCTAAAGTCCCTGCTGCTAAAGACAAACGGGAGCTCATCCAGATTCCCGGTTCTCCTGTGGATCAGAGCTCTTTTCTTCGCTTACAAGCTGGCCGGTGATTTATCTCTATAGCGCCAAATCAGGACCAGAGTCGTCTCAAGGACCTTCACATAGTAAATATTCCAAACAGGTCAGTTCATTAAACCAACCAGTGAAAAGTTTGCTACATAAGGAACCCAGCAGGTTGCATCGAGTCACTGACTAGTGTCAGAGTCTTTACAGCAATCCTCATACTAAGCAAGCATGCAGCGACAGTGGAGAGGAAAACTCCCTTTTAATGCATTGAACTTATATAGCGCTTTTCAAGACACCCAAAGATGCTTTCACACACTCTCACATTCACACACTGCTAGTGATGGTAAGCTACTTGTAGCCACAGCCGCCCTGGGGAGGTCTGATAGAGGAGAGGCTGCCATTTGGTGCCGTCGGCCCCTCTGACCACCACTAACACAGGCAAGTTGGGTGAAGTGTCTTGCCCAAGGACACAACAGCAGGATACCCCTGGCGGGAGCTGGAATTGAACCCATGACCCTCCGATCATGAGGCAACCCGCTCTACCACCTGAGCTACTACTGAAACCTCCAGAGGATCCTGGCTCAGTATAAGCAACCATCCACCACGACTCACTGGGGATGGAGAAGACAGAGCAGAGCTCTATACCTTTAGGGGGGTCCTGAAGGTCTGTGGGAGTTCACCCAACCAATCTATATGTGTTTTGTGGATTTGGAGACAGCTTTTCACCACATCCGCCAGGGAGCTTTGTGGGGGGTACTCAATGAATATGGGGTACCAGGTCCTTTGATACAGGCTGTTAGGTTCTTGTATGACCGGTGTCAGAGCTTGGTCAGCATTGCCGGCAGTAAGTCTGGCTCATTTCCAGTGAGAGTTGGACTCCACCAAGGCTGCCCTTTATCACCAATTCTGTTCATAACTTTTATGGACAGGATTTCTAGGTGCAGCCAAGGTGTTGAGGTGATCCATTTTGGTGGCCTGAGGGTCAGGTCTCTGCTTTATGCAGATGATGTGGTCCTGTTGGCTTCATCAGACAGTGATCTCCAGCTTTTGCAGGAGCGGTTCACAGCTGAGTGTGAAGCAAATAAATGGAAGAGCTGGCCCAAGTAGCTAGGGAGAGGGAAGTCTGGGCCTCTTGACTTAGGGTGTTGCCCTTGTGAGCTGAATCTGTATAAGTGGAAGAGAATGGATGGACGGATGGATAAGAAGTAATATTCATAAAAACAAGTGCACTAGTAGGAATTTAGCATTTTAACTCATTAACGTGTCTCCATCCTTCAGTGCTAACCCTGACCAGATGTCAACAGTTAAACCATTTTGTCTTTTAACAGAAACTCAAAAAATGCTATTAGGCAAATCTAATCAAAGGTGTGGTTCACTTAAAATTAATTTTCTAATGATTAATTCTGATAATCAGTCACTCAGAGTTTTACTCTGAGACAAAAATTCTAATTTAAAACTTGTGGCCATGCTTGCGACCCTCTAAACTACCTCACCATGCATTTGCTTAATCTGCAGTTGTGAAGTGGACATGAGCCACCAGGCAACTGCAGGTAATGTATAAATTAGCCCCAGTGGTGTGTGCACGTGCTTTAAGCCAATTTAATATTCCATTGTTGAAAACACAACCACCTGTTGCAATATACAAAATAAATCATTACAAATAAATAAATATTAATAAATCTTATTATTAATTAATATTATTAATTATTTTGATTAAGGACTGAAATAATCAAATTCAAGTAACTTGTAGCCATCAGCTTTTATAATCACACGTATTATAAAAGGTAAGCAAGAGTAACATTTGAGTTTCACTCTTTAATATTAAAAAACAGGAAACTTTGGACTATTCATGAAGATGTTTCCAGCCAGTGAACGGGGACATTACAGTTGCTAGTCTGTGAAAAACTGCTGCAGGTGTGGTACTCTAAAAGATTTTACAAGGCTAGCAGGTCTGCATAAAATCCGCCTGAATGGTTGAAATATCTGAGGACAGATCCTTTTTCAGCGCTTGTATGTCACACCTGACAGATGTGAGGTTCTCTGCAAGCTCCGCCGACATGTTATTGGAACAGTCCATTTCAGCAGATGGCGTGTCGGAGGGTCCAGGTCGGGGTGGGGTCACACCATGAGGCCGAAGTAGCAGGCTTCAAGGTGGACTGAAAGACAGTTGTGTTTTTACGAGCTTTCCCCGACATCGGTGACGTCTGAAGCAAGTTCCGACATGTTCCAGAAGTGCAACAGCACACTTGGAGCAAATCAGATCATAAAAGTACGCCTCAAAACATCAAATATTGCTCAGATTCTGCAGGAGTGACAATCAGTGTGACCTACGACATTTTGTGGCGAACCAGAATTCCCTTGACCTGACTTGCCTGTGTTGGTGGTGGTCAGAGGGGCCGATGGCGCACGATGGCAGCCTTGCCTCTGTTAGACCTCCCCAGAGCAGCTGTGGCTACACGGTAGCTTACCATCTCCGATAGTGTGATGTGCGAGAATAATGGAAATTGCTCTTGGTACCTAGAAAAGCATTATCCGATCCATTATTATTGTTATTAAGGTAGCATTTTTGTGAACGAGCAAGTGGTTTATATTTATTATACACAAGAAACGATGCTGTGGCTGCCACTGTAGAAGCTTGATCCTCTTTAACTTCCAGGCTCTTACTCCTGCCTGTTGGGAACATTTAGGAAAACCTGGGAGTCGGTACGCGTCAGGCCCTGAAACACACACACTGGCTTTGATTTCTCCCCCCCCCCCCCCCCCCCCCCCCCAGTAAGAGGGAAAATGTGTATTACACACATTAATTCAATAATTATTGTTATGAAATAGAAGACGACATGAAAAGCTAGAGCTCCCAAATCAGCTTTCTATTGCCCCAACCAACCAACCCCCCCCCGTCCCCACACGCCCCAACCCCCAGTTTTTGGGGAAGTAGAATGGCCCAAAGATTCATGACACGTGTGTATGTGTGCACGTGTGTGTGTGTGTGTGTGTGTGTGTGTGTGTGTGTGTGTGTGTGTGTGTGTGTGTGTGTGTGTGTGTGTGTGTGTGTGTGT